TGCAAGCAATTTCCTTAGAAAGATCATAACACCAGTATTTCATATTTCTTTGAATTTTGTAAACTAAAATTTTTAAAGCAGAGCTAGCTTATTCTCTAAGAGCCAAACTCACCTGCATGTCGAATACCACGTACAGGTGAGTGAAGGCGCTTGATGTAGGAAAATTCATTTAGAAATGCGCATTCCTAATTACACAGAATGAGGAAAAGGGGGAATACATACGGAATATAGAGACCTACTAGTGTTTTTGATTAAAAATATTTTTCACTGAGTTTATCGCATTTAATTTACTTATTTTTACATTTATTTTCTCGACATTTCGGGTGAAAGTCAAGGTGATCTGAGGCATTTAATATACTGATGTCGTTCATTGTAGCTGGGCTTAATAATAAATCCTACATCTTTAATTACAGTATTTTGAAGTTTTGCATTGACACGTATGGGTTTAGATTTAATTTTATTAGTTATCCGATCCCAAGCAAATGTTGTCTATCTAGCTATCTTTGCTATAAAAATTGTGGTGCGGTTTTTAATTTCAATAGTTTCGCTATAAAACTGCGGTTGCCAATCCTTTTACCGAGCGTGGCAGTTATGGCATCATCTGAGATGGAAACTATCAATGCGGTTGGAGAATAATATCACCCATCGCAGCAGAACACGACCTCACTTATAATCTAATGGCTGCTAGACCGGAATGAGACCAGTTATCAACAGCTACGTCAGCTTAGAGGCAAATGACGAGACAGATCTCTAAATGTACCAGCTTCAATATATATTTAAACTGTTTTTAGGGATTTTCGGGACGTGCCCAAACCATTGGAGTACGCTCCTATCAAAAATTGATAGGGGCGTACTCCAACGGTTTGGGCACGTTGAGCGAATGAGTGAAGACAGAATGGTGAAGAAAATATATAGAGCGAAAGTAAATATTAAAAGGTGTCGAGGTAGACCGAGACTAACTTTCGAAGAACATGTGAGCAAATTGCTCGAAGAGGGGAAGGTCAAGAGTACTCGGATACCTAGACGTGCGTGTATGAAGAAGTTAATGAATCTGAAAGAAGCGAAAGAGGTATGTAAGGATCGTGACACTTGGCGATCTGTTCTCTCTGGCTACCCCGTTAGGGATTGTGCGTGAAGATAAGTAAGTAAGTAAGTAAGTAAGGGATTTTCTTTATTCTACCTGTTGAATTATAAAAAATAAATTCAATGCTCTTTTTGGTTGAATTACGTAAGAACAACACGTCTCTCCTCATTTGGCCCTTTCCGACATTACATGGCAATCGTGATAGGTCAGTAATAAAAATAATAAGAAACATTACATTCTTCAAGTGTAAATAAAAATCCGTATTCACTTAACTCGGCAACAGAATGGGGTTACTCGAATAAGCTATCTTATATAATGGAGCGGCCCAACTGAATTATGACGACAGTTTCAAACAATTGCTGCCTACAATGCAGCATTAGAGCGACGAGCGGTGGATGGATAATCCAGTGCCTTCACTTTTGACCTCCAGCTATCTTAGAGAGACACTCATAGTTTCGGTTTTCAACACTAATCCTCTTAGATAAATAGGAATCTCTTGTTAACATAGAATTAAGTTCAATGGAAATATAGATTATAAAATAAAAAAGGTTACAGTTCGTCGTTACGTTCTGGGGGAGGGGGGGGGGGGTTCATTCCCAATGCGTGTTGTGGCGAACTTCACACTTGTCTTCGGTAAATATTTTTTCTTATTTCGTGTGCTCGAAGAATTCACAGCGAGCGCTAACCATCTGAGCTACCACGGCTCGTAATATATATATATATATATATATATATATATATATTTGATTTTTAATCGAGGATAGATGTAGATGTCTGTGGGCCACAGCATCCAGTTACCACCAGGTGGACTGTGTGCTCGTTTGTCACCCTTATTCTACAGAAAAGAATATTGTTGATATTCTTTTCTGTATATAAAACAATAATAGAATGTCCTCAATTAACTTTTCCATTTTCAACGCCTGACGGAGCATGCCAACTTCAGAGGTATGTTTATCCATAGCCATTGTCCTTTTAGACAATATGTCTACGAGTATGTAATACTCGTATTAATCCCGACCCACGTAAGATACGACATCGATTTTATGGTTAATTATCTGGTGTACAAGCTTAAGCGTGGCTAAAGTAATTATAGGCTTATTTATGTAATACTTCAGGTAACCTTTGAATTGATGTCAATTCATTAAAAAGTAGGCTTTTTATTAATTCAATGAATAATGTAAAGGTATATGATAAAGAAAGAGGTACCTATACAAAATGAACATTGGAATTAAATTTTCTGTCACTTTATAATGTTCTCCAGACCGAATTTCGGTCATGGTGGCCAGCCTCAATTGAGACTACCCATCGGCTTTTTTTTTACATACTTTCCGAAACATGGGGGTGCGACAGCGCCAACTTCCTTACACCGAGTAGCTACTGAGAATTTCTCTGAGAATATCTTGACGGAAAAACTCAATACCGGATTTTTTTGCCTGAGCTGGGATTCGAACCCGGGACTTCATGGTCAGCAGTCGCGTTTACAACCACCAGACCAACAAGGCAGACTGTCAATTTATATATTTATTACAGTTTACAGCTAGACATAAGCCTCTTCTGTTGTAGAAATCATCATCATCATTACAGCCCTTCACAATTCTACTGCTGAACATAGGCCTACCCCAAGGTATGCTACAAAGCACGGTCCTGAGCCACCTGCATCCACCGACTTCCTGCATCTCTTACCAGGTCGTCAATCCATCTAGTGGGGGGTCGCCCTACGTTTCACCGACCTGTACCTTGTAACTTTACTCTGAATTAATTTGTAAATTAACGCTATACTTGAAATATTACGCTCGTTGTTACGACCTTATAACAATGCCTTTTCTATAGCTTCATGAGTACCTTTCATTTTTGAAATATTCTTCTCATACAAATACATAATATCTTCCAGGGCTTACCCATACTCGTAGTTGCCTCCACACCACGGTCGATGCCACCAATTATAAAGCAATCTTAAACTGGTTTTATTGCCGAGTAGAAGCTTTTTGACGAAATTAAGTTTTTATTATTCACAATATAATTTTTTAAACTTGCACTTTTGCTATTGACAAGAGACGAGATTTCGACGTAAACTAACGGAATTAGCAACTAACATCTAAATTACTAAAATATTTTTTATAACTTTATGTATCTTGTCAAATCAATCATAGTTTATAATTGTCGTTTATATTTTGCTCAATAGTTTTCTTTTTGCTTTAGTTTTTTATTGTATTGTATTTTTATGTGTGTGATCTATTTTATTTATCTTGTTATAAGAGTTATCAACTAAATCTATTCTATTCTAATAATGTAACAACATTAGCAATAATACACGCTCGTTCATTCCAATCTATCTCGTCTCCTTCGAATTTATTTCATATATCTTTCAACTTATCCCACCAATGGAAAAGTTTCAATTGAGTAGGCCTACGTAGGAAGAAACATTGACAAAGTTTTTCTTTTGACAATATTGAGGTGACTCGACAATCTGTTTTCTGTGAAAATAATGTTCCGATAAAGTCCCGAGTAAATGCTTTTTACATATGATTTGTTGGCATTACAAAGATTTTCCTTAACTTTGTTACGAATGTCACGGTAAAAAGTATAAAAATGGCCCATGCAGGTCCTACGATACAGCGCTCTTTTCATTTCTGAGAATGTTTTGTAGCATGTGAGTCTGTCGCACTGTATTTGTGACGATGGATCTCTGAAATATTTTTTGAATTTTTAGACATGCATTTTATGAAATATATTTTTACTAGCTTGCCAGGCAGACATTGTTCTGCCCTTTTCGACGACCCTTTGTCATGTCCTATTAAAAATCCTTAAATTCGCAAAAAAAAAATTGTGGGGCAAATAATACTATATCTGTCAAGTTGGGCCAAACTTAACACAGTGTGCAAATTTGATCAAAATCGGTTCAGTAGTTTAGGAGTCCATCGCGGACAAACAATGTGACACGTAATTTATATATATTAAGATAATAGTAAAGCAATTAACATTTTCATTGATGCTAGCGAGGATCAAACTAAGGTCGGAAATAGCTTTTTACATATGATTTGTTGGCATTATAAAGATTTTCCTTAACTTTGTTGCGATGGCACGTTGAAAAGTATTAAAAACGGCCCATGTAGGTCCTGCGATACAGCTCTCTTTTCATTTCTGAGAACGTTTTGTAGCATGTAAGAGTCTGTCGCACTGTACTCGTGACGATAGACATCTAATACTTTTTAAATATTTTAGACATGCATTTTCTAAACTATGTTTTTATAATAGTAAAGCAATTAACTTTATTTTATTACTTAAAATTTATTTCCTGTGAAAACGCGGCTATTCAATTAAAAATTGTTTTATAGCCGTTAGTTTAAAAGATAAAAAATGAATTAGCTTTGTAACACGTAACAAAGAATAAGCCGCTCCGCTGCTGTCATTACTCATTACAGATTAACGAACTATACAAACATTAAATATCATATAGAAACGTTAATAATAGAAACGTTATTAAACGTTAAGTGTGATTAATTATTAGTATGATTTAAGTTTTAATTGTTGTTCTCTAATAAAAGTGTAAATTTTTGTAATTCAATCGGCAGTTTTTATTGTCACGAACCTTAAGCTCGTAACAATAAGCTGTGCTCGTTTCTGTTATATACTGGTAGGTATTTTTAAAAGTACGTGTCTGAAGCTGTACATGGCTTTAAATTACAATTCACGTAATAAAAATATACGCACAATAGATGGAGTTACGACTGTATGAAACATGCATAGAATTGAAATGCTGATGGCGCTGTACAACAGTCCACTACTGAACATAATACTATAATTATATAACATTTATCACTTTATAGAGACTGTGTCGTCAGTCAACTTTTAAAAATTCCCTGAACGTTGGTTGATACTTAAATTGTCTTAAAACTAGAACCATAAATTACCAAAAATGTTGAAGTTGTGTTGCATCTACGGTAGAATCTGGTACCGCGTACATTAATCTGCCAGTAAAGCCTGTCAATTACGTCAGATCTTTCTACTTTATAAGAGGTGCATTTCCCGGTCATTCCGTTTATTCACCCTTAAACATCTACCAAAGATGGATACTTCGGAAACGCGTGTTCATCTATCTGTCCCAGACGAAGTGGATAATTGGGATTGGTCATTTATAGAAACATGATAAAAAATATCCCAAGATATACATTGACATACCTATAAAAATATATACACATTTCTTTGAAAAGTCAAGCCTGATATAAAAGCAGTGCCTCACAGGGCTACAAATCCATTGGAATTTTGGTATAAAATAATTTCAAGACAAATATCCTTTAAACAATAAGACAAATATCTTTAAAGTTTTTTAAATGCTTGCAAAAATACGCCTAGTTTTTCGCTAACACATCTGCTGTAGCAAAGACATTTAGAAAGAGAATGCAATTGAACATTTTTTTTTTCTAGAATATAAAATTACTTTTACTCAATAATGAAATCAACGTTGGTAATCGAGAAACATCCGACACTAATTTCAGGTGGACGATTTTCAGAAGGACGTATTACATTATAATATTATTTAAATCGAGGAAATTGAATTTGATTTAAATGCAATATGTTGTATGATTTATGTTTAAGTTTGTGGTTATTAAAATTAAAGTGATATGATTATATTTACTGTTGGACTATACTTGGGGTAAAAAATCGGAAGAACAATCTAAGGTGAATTCCTCGGGTGAATTTTTTACGGTGGACTTTAGTAGCCGTTAATGAATGATTCTAAAGATCATGTACTTTACAAAAACTTTTAATAATTAAATTATTGGTTTTCTTTTTAATAGCTGGGGGAAGGGGTGGAGCTGACGCTGGGCGAACTGCGCGCAATGGCCCTCCGACAGCAGCAGCAGATCGACACCCAACACCAGCTGCTCTGCGCCAAGGAGCAGCGGTTGCGGTACCTCAAGCAGCAGGAGGCGAGACAACACCAGGTAACATATGGGAGTTATGAATATGTTACATGATATAATACTGACAAACACTCTCTCTCTCTCTCTATCTTTTCTTTTTCTATATTTTCTTTCTCTCTCTCTCTCTCTCTCTCGCCTCAAAAAACACACACACACACACACACTATTGTTTTTTTTTATTCTTTTCGGCTGGCTTTAGAAATATTAACAACTGCTCTTTAACTACGTCCTACTAATCTACTCTTAATGTTATCTTACTTGATGTGACCATATGATCGATATTTAAATATTGTTATAATGTGAAAATCAATTATTACATATCTTTTATTACATGTAATTAATAATCATTTAAAGATCGACAAATTGTACAAAAGTAACCGCACATTTTAATGATACAGAGTTAAATAAAATTTACATCATTATTAAATACCTTACGTTCTTACCTTCAAAAGTATGCAAACGATCCCGCCCTTCGTAGATACATTACTAATTAAAGTGCGCAAACGGAATACATTTTACCTAAATAATTTACATTATACGTGTGGTTACTGGTAAGAGCATAATCCTATTAAAGATTCAATAACGGCAACGAACAAAGTGTTATTACTCGTATGTCATTGAAAACTAAAAAAAAAACTGAAGATTTCAATAAGAGCTACGATTTTATAATAATAATAATATCTGTATGTCGACCAACAAGGATCGTGTAACATAATCAGTATAATTATGTGATAACATAGCCAATTTATAGTACCTAATTATTAATTATAATAATAAAGGAAAGTTGAATAAAAATAAATAAGAGAATAAATAAAAATCTTTCAACCCAAAATCAACAATTGTTAGAATTATTTATTTGCCATTACATGAACCGTACAACAATGGTTCAGGTACTGACAGTCAACTCTATTTGAGAACATCACTATGATGCGGTTGGAGCTGGCCCAAATCCGTAATCCGTCCGAAAGTACCAGGGATGTACACCGTTTACGTATGATCGCGTAGAAGCAATCCACTCGCGCTTCAGCGAACATCCCTGATGGGCCGCAGAACCGAGGCAGCCCTATTAGCACCCGAAATATATATGCATTATGTATTTGCACGCGCAGGGCGTTGTACTGTTGTTGAGGGTAATTCACCCAGAGGCTGCTTGTCTAGAGGGATGTACAATAAGCTTTAAACAGTGTAATCTTAAACTTGTGCAACGAGCAAACCTTACAGACAACGACCTGTGCTCTCTATCAATATCTAAATTGTCCCTCAGGTCGGAGGTTACCAAATTTGCAAGATACTTAAAATGTTCTATTCTCTTCAGAGGGATTCCATTCAGTTTAATAAGAGGAATGTTTTTTTTGTTTTTTTTTTATTAAAAAAAGAATATTAAAAATGCTGTAAACATTACTAATATTCCCCCTTAACCACTCGTGGTAAGCTTAAATTGCCTGTGTTATGAGTGGTTCACGCCAGTAGTCGAATGGCGAATTCGAACCCACAACCTTTTTGAGTTAGCGGTCGGCGCCCAGCCATTAGGCTACTGTCGCTAAATAATAGGTAAGTACTGTTGCTAAATAATAAGAGGAATGCTAAGTGGACTTTTGTTTCTGGCCTGAAAGATCATGTATTCACTTTTGCTCACGTTGTATTTTAGTCCGTGACTAACAGTATATTTCTTACAGATGCCTACCAACTTACTTAGGCTACAGATTTTAGTCAATGCCGGATTCGCTATACTTGTATTATTACACTCACCGGCACGGAAACTTGGCCACTCGTGAATTTGCTGATTATTTGCACTGTAACGTTTTTTTAACAGTAATTCTCTCACAGAATAGTAGCGTAAAATAGTAGCTTAATGCTGCTGTGTTTACTGGAATCGAGGCATTCCATCTTTGTCCTCACGGGTGATAACGTATCTACATTTTAATTCGTAAGCGAGGATAGATGTAGATGTCTATGGGCCTCAGCAACCACTTACCATCAGGTGGACTGTGTGCTCGTTTGTCGCCCTATCCTATAAAAATATAATAAATAAAGAAATGAAACATTTCAAGCTACTCGGTATGATTAAAGGGAATATCAATAATATTAAAAGAGTTATTTATTTTTGTTAAAAAAAAAACGCTTGTAATATAACATGATATCTATAGCAATATAAAGCGATTTAATAAATAGTAAAATTACCCAGTGTTGTCTTTTAAAAATGTCTAAAGCCTTGACTAAAGGAATATGTAATATTTTGTTAGTTTTAAAAAAATAAACACATTAACCTATTCACGTATATATTTCATTGTGTTGAAAAAGAACATCTTTATTTAATTTATATATTATAAGCACATTACAACATGTATTACAATTGTTACAGAAAAGAAATAAATTATTCATTTAAGCAAAGCTACGATTTTGTAAATAATCCTTTTCTCACGCAACTTGCGACCTACTCTTGTCCCGTCCGATTGGGAATTTAATAACGGTCTTAAAGATACTTATTTCAAAAATGCCTTTAGAGCCAGCAGCTTAAGTTTCTAACGAATACTGAAGATTATAAAACATTCTTATCGAATGATATAAGAACGATTTTACTTTGTATATAGGATTTATTGTTAGTCTTCCCATTTGATTTCTATAATAAAATGAAATACGTTAATTTATAATTTATGTAGGTAATTTTAGTACTTTATAGCGTATAGCACTCACGGTCACACCTATGTATTGTACACGTTGCGAATATGTTATTGAATAATTTTCGTCCTGTCGTTAACTTCGCCCCTGCCTGTATATCAGATTTGTTAGGCCAGAAATCCTTACAAAATACATATAGATTCTGAGAGAGACAGCTTCTTAACATGATTAGTGCAACAATTGAAATTAATGAAAACCTAATTTTAATAGAGAAAATGGCGAAAATCGCTAAGTTCTACCACTTGCTTAGGATATAACTTAGGCCATTCATATTAAAGCTAAAGGTCAACTGTACTCAGTCCATTATCCTATACTATTAAACGAGCAATTCTTGTGTATATATATATATATATATATATTTATCGTGATCTCGGAAACGGCTCCAACGATTTTCATAAAATTTAGTGTCCAGGGAGTTTCGGGGATAATAAATCGATCTAGCTAGGATTTATTTTTAGAAAATGTCTTTTTGTCCGTGTTTTTAGGCAATGAAAAACTGCTACAATATCGTTAGAATAAGAAGGTAAATTTTGACGGATTGTTAGTGATTATAAATAGCTTAATTGGTATAATGGTCGGTCACAGAATCTTAAAACCCGGTTCGAGCCCAGACCGACCAACCGACTTTTTTTAATTTTTTTTCATGTTCCTTTCTTTTTTGAGTAAATCTATTTTTCGAGCCCATTTTTTAGTATTTTTTAAAAACACGAAAACTTAAAATAATTGCACTCATGATTTTTTATTCAAATAACCAGTTCCGTTTTTTCTGTTATGTCGCTAAGATCAAAAATATTATTTATATTTCATCAGTATGTAATTTGTATCTAAATATAATTTCCAAAACACACGAATTAAAAAAAAATCGAGCGAAAAATACCGAGCAAAGCTCGGTCAACCAGGTACTGTAGAATTATGTAGCATACAATATCTTTTGTCATTACAATATATTTTGTCATTAAGACCTAAAGTATGTATAGTATAGGAGTAGTGTGGACTTTAGTCCATACTTTACTCTTATACTCCTATCCCATGATAGGATAGGATAGGAACATAATATAATTGTTTAAAATACATATAAATAACAAAATGTAACCAAATCGTAGCTTTCCTTAAAAACATTAGGACTGGCACACTTGATATTTTAGTATCGACAGTATTCAGTATGCGAATCGATCGATTTTCGAAATCGAAATGCCGCAAGTCGTGACGAAACTCTACTTAAGTTTCGACCTGTTACAGATTTCAAGAGATTTAATTTTATAAAGCTTTGATAGCAAAAATTTTAGTTTTGTACTTTTATGATCTTATAAAATGTAAAATTTTCTAGCTCTCTCTCTCTCTCTCTCTCTCTCTCTCTCTGTCTCTGTCTCTCTTTGTCTCTCTCGTACTTGTTCCGTTTCACAATTTTAATTTTAAATATAAAAATGAAATATTTACTTTTGACAATAATATAAATAGTTGATTATCGTCATAACAATCGGCATATAATCAATACTATGGAGAGCATACATAATATATAGAGCGATACATAATATGGAGAGCAGCCCCCGCCCGTAGTAGCAACTTTCAGGTACCCGTGCGAGCCGTAGCGACTGAGGCTCCCAAAGCTGCGGAGGTGAGCATGGGTGCCTGCAATTTGCTACGCAAGGGCGAAGGGGCTGCACCTCCTGTTGCACCGAAGCTGTTACAGCTGTAACTTTGGGTCAATATTCCCGTGTAATAAGTGAGTATATATATATATAATCATCAGAGTTAAGTATCTATATCCAAAGTTGCAAAATCCCTAATCTTTTTTCAATAAGATTTAGAAATGTCATAGTCTGGTTGTGACGTAAGAGAATCCATTACCCTATTTCAACCCGTGGGTGTCTTAAGAGGTGACTACGAATGTTTCCAGATAGCTCTCCTCGGTTTCGATTAATTTGATACAATAAAGGAACCAGACCGACGATAGGATGCAGGGTCAAAGGTACTGTATAGCGATTGAAAATACGCCTGCCATTTACGAAAATTCATTCCTTTAATAGGAGAGGCCCATGTATAGATTTGGAGCTTTACAAGTTGCAATATACATGCCAGATGTATGTGGTCGGTGTTTCTCTGTGTCACAGCCTTAAAAATGTAGATATCCGCAGTAGAGCTAGAGTAACCGACATAGCCTAACGGATTAGTAAGATGAAGTGGCAATGGGCCGGCCAATTAGCTCCAAGAACCGACAACCGATGGGAAAGAAAGATTATCGAGTGGCAGCCTCATGCTGGTAGGCGTAGTGTAGGGCGACCCCCCACTAGATGGAGTGACGACCTGGCAAAACATACAGGAAGTAGATGGATGCAGGTGGC